TCTCTCTCTCTCTCTCTCTCTCTCTCTCTCTCTCTCTCTCTCTCTCTCTCTTTTTCTTTCTTTCTGTTTCTGGTTTCACCAGAAGAAGATTTCATGAGAAAAGGAGCAAGAGAAGGACTTGAGGACAAAAGTGGCCAAGGACACTCAAGGCACTAAGACCATCTAGTGCCTTGGAGAAGAAGAAGGAATAGTGATGGAGATTTAGAGGACTTTGGAATGGTGAAGAACAGCAGTTGAATTTGGGAGACTAAATTAAAGATAAAATAAATTAAATTAAAAAAAGAAAATAAAAAAGGAAGACTCAAGTTGAAGGAGAAGAAAGATCGGAGTGAGAAGAAGACCAGATAATTGTCAGCAATTATTTGAAGGGCTATGACTTAAAAGAGAGGAATACTCGTTTTCTTTGACCCTAAAAGGCAGAATTAGTTGCAAAGAGGCAAATTTAAGTTTGTTATAAATAAAACTTCCAGACAATTCATGCTGCCCCCAAAATGGAATGGGCTACCTCCAAAGGCAGTGGGTTCCCCCTCACTGAAACTTACGTGCAAGTCACTTAAACTGCCTCAGCCTCAGTTTCCTCATTTGTAAAATGAGGATGATAATAGCATCTACTTCTCAGGATTGTTGGGAGACTCAAATGGGTTAACATATAGAAGCCTATGTCAATACTAGCTAGTGGCTATGATCTTGTACTGATTAGTCTCCAGAAACTTAAAATCGAGCACATTTATTAAGCTATTGTCCTTAAGTGCCCATTAAGTGCACATATCAAAAGTACACATTGGCCTCTGTTCCACTTGGTTAGTCAGCCCCTATAATCCCATTGTCAGTAGCCATCTGGTAATAGAAATTCTTTAGCCCTGTCTCCCTGTTTTAAAAATACAAAGAAAAAAATATAATTTTGTGCATGTTTGCAGCAAAAAGGTTTGTATACACATACTTGCCCCGCCCATACTCCTACAGAACTATTGGCACATACATATACACCCTTCCACAATCACACAGACACACATACATATACTCTTTGTCATGCCCACCAATTCAATGTGTCTTCTGGAGGAGTACAAAGGAAAAAGTTAACACCTATTTTTAATTCATTTAAATGAAGTGTCATTGTCCTAAGATCCTATAACTTAGACCTGGAATGATCAACTGACTCAAATTTCTTGTGAGTTTTTGGTTTTGGAAATGTAGTCATTAGTAAGCTTTGCTTATAGGAAAGTAAATGCTGAAAGATATTTATTTTAATTTCTTCTTGCTCTGACATACCCAATTTGTTTGCCATCCTGAAAAAGCACCTAGCAATATCATATTATGCACACACCTGCACCCCTTCTAAATATACCCTATCTATATGTGATTTCCTCTTTGTCTTTTAAAGGTGTGTGGTGAGAACATGATGGAAAACACCTCTTCTCAAAGTCTGGCCCTAATTTCAATGTCACTATTCATAGTGACTTTGTAGTGATAATGATTTGAGATGAGGGCACCAGATGTTCTTAGAATTCCAATTTTAAAGATGGACCTAGTCTTTATCATAAATTAGGTTTATATCTCATTTTAATGCTTACAAAATTCTTTTTACTGCAACAATCCCATGAGGTGGGTAGTGCAAATATTTGTTGTTGTTTCGTTGTTTTCAGTCATATCTGACTCCTCATGACCCCATTTAGAGGTTTTCTTGGCAAAGATACTGTAATGGTTTGTCATTTCCTTCTCCAGCTGATTTCACAGATGAGGAAACTGAGGCAAATAGGATTAAGTGACTTGCCCAAGGTCACATAGCTTGTAAGTGTCTGAGGCCAGATTTGAATTGAGCAAGATGAGTCCTTCTGACTCCATGCCCCAAACTTTATCCGCTAGCTGCCTATCGCACTATACTACCTAGCTGCCCAGTGCAAGTATTACTATCTCCATTTTATGGTTAGAGAAACTGAAACAACTAAACCCCACTGTCCAGAAGATATCAAATACCAGAGGCAGCTAAGTAGTATTGTAGATAGACTGTCGGACTCAGAGTCAGGAAGACTTGAGTTCAAATCCAACCTCAGAATTTACTAGCTGTTTGGGTGATTCATTTAACCTCTCAACCTTAATTTTCTCATCCATAAAATGGGGATAATTATAGCACCTATCTGCCAGGATTGTTGAGGATAAAATTAATTCATATTTTTAAATTGTTACATAAATACTAGCTATTACATTAATACCAGAGCTGAGATCTACACCCAGCTATCCTTCGACTACAATACCAGTGACCTTTACTGGCCACCACACGTTCTCACCCAATCCAACCATCCCAAATAATAGGAATTACATGTAGAGGAACTGGTCATAATGTCCCACAAATAGTTAGAGGAAAGACTGGGACTGAAAATATTAACCTTAAAAAAATCAAAATGTTATAATATCAACCCCTTAAAAGGCCCTTTAGGGTACAGGAAAGATGTTAAGACGAGACCACTAAATTTCTCAGTGTCCCATACCATGATTTTCTCTGAAGAAAATGTTACTGCCCTTACCAGAAGTAGAGACTTCTAATACATATGGACAAAAAAATACCTTCACGCCCAAGACACATTGAATGATACAAAGTATCTGCAAACCCTATTCTTCTCTATAATTCTCTCTGAATACTGATCCAGATCATATCACTTTGCCTGGGTCTTAAACACTATGGTCTTCTGGTCCCAGCCCATACTTCTGACTCAGACCCCTGTGATCTTACATCCAGCCCTTCTGTTTAGCAACCTGTATCTCTGGTAATTCACCAATGCTCCTGGCTCTTCCTCAACCAAGGACCACCTTGGTCTTTTTCTGCTCCCTAGCTCAGTGACTCAGTTCATACTATGAGCAACCTCCAGCCCCCATCTAAGACAAATCTTGTCTCTAGCCTAACCCCTAGGCTGTTTCATTGAGTCATGTTGATAAAAGAAACATAGAGTCTAGCTCTACCATCATACTTTGCTTCTCTGCATGTACTCTAGAATCCAGCAAAACTGGCCTTGCTGGGGTTCCTCAGACATGGCAGTCCATCTCCCAATTCCATGCATTTTCAGTGGCCATCCTCCATAACTGGAATTCTCTCTCCCTTCACCTCAGTTTCCTGGCTTCTTTCTTTGAAGACTCAGCTCAAATTTCACCTTCTGCAAGAGGCCATTTCTGGTCTTCCTCAATGCTGGTGCCTTCTCTCTGAGCTTCCTGCCCATTTACACCATACACCCATCTTCTACATACCTTGTTGTTTACGTGTTGTAGCCCTCATTTGGATGTGAGCTCCTTGTGGATAGGGATTGGTTTTGCCTTTCTTTATATCCCCTGTGCTTACACACACACACACATACACACACACACACACACACAGAGCTCCTGGCACATTGTGTTGTTATTGTTCAGTTGTGTCCAACTCTTCATGACCCCATATAGGGTTTTCTTGGCAAAGATACTGGGATGATTTGCCATTTCCTTCTCCAGTGTATTAGGAAAACAGAGATTAAGTCATTTGCCCAGGATCACACAGCTAGTGAGTGTCTGAGGCCAAATTTTAATTCAGGTTTTCCTGACTCCAGGCCCAGTGCTCTATCCACTGAGCCATCTAGCTGCCTAACACATAGTAGCCACTTAATAAATGACCAACTGACCAATTGGTTCTCCAAATTATTTTGCAGTTGTAAGATCCTTTAAAAAAAAACTATAGTAGGACCTTTTCAGGACAAGCTTGTGAATTTATTTTTAAATTGACAATTAATCATGCTAAATAAGAAGAATAAATAAGGATAAATAAGAAATCAAATTGTTAAAATTTTATTTTTAGATGAATTTTTATTCTAAGAGTACTTGGAGTCAAAGGATCTGAGTTCAAACATGAGACAAGTCACCTAATAACCTCTCTAAGCCTCAGGTCTCATCTCTAAAATGAAGGAGTCAGAGTAGAGGGCCTTTAGTGTTTCTTTTAGCACTAGATTGGTGAGCTTATGAAAGACTAGAAATCTCCTTCTCTCTAGAGATGGGCAGCTAAGTTAAAAACTGCCTCCATCCCTCCCCCTCACTGTTGCAGATCTCAGCTCCTTGACAGTATGGTAAATCTCAATCTTTATATTTGTATTCCCAGCACCTGGCCCATAGCAGGAACTTAATAAATGCATGTTTACTAATTGATTGATCTTACCACTAAACAGTCTAGGCATAATTTGAATAACCTGGCCCAGCTGCCCCAGAGGAAGAGGAGGGTCGGGGAATGGAAAAGACAAGCAAGGAGAGTGCAAGGATGTACTTCCAATCTCCAAGATGCAGTGGAAGGTACTGGTATGATCAAGAGGCACCTTCTCCGGCACTCGGGAATAGAGAAGGCAAAACTGGATTCATGATGAGCCAGCATAGAGTTGAAAACAGAGACCATTTGAGCAGTGCAGGAAAGGAACCATACCCCTCTTGAGAGACCCCTTTCTGTGTGAGAGCAGAAACTATGAGACTTGAGCATAGAAAAGGATTTTAAACAAACAGAGGCATTCCAGTCCAGAGGTGCATTCTGAATTACAAACAGAGACTCCAAAGCCATCTTCCTGTACAGACCCAGCTGATAGAACACTGGTCATCTGAAGAAAGTGAGTGACAGGCACCATCTACTAAACAGTAGAAGATCTGCAGAAGCCTACGAAGGAGCATCGTCTTAGGACGTAGAACTGGAGAGACCAACAGTGCTCAGAGCTGACCTGTACGAGATAAAGCTATAGCAGTGTCAAGAGCAAGGCTACAGAAGACAGAGATGAGGAGGATGTTGAAAATGGTCCACAAAGAATGGGTGCTGGAACTTTGTCTTAAAAGAAGAAAAGGGCTCTATGAGAGAAAAGGAAAGAGGGAATACATTCCTGGCATGGGAATGGTCTGTGTGAAGAATGGGGATGAAAAATGCAGTGCTAAATGTGAGGAATAAGAGAAATAGCCAATTTTGCTAAATTGCTGAGTTTGGGAGGAATGAGGTCCAGTGAGGCTGGAAAGATAAGTTGGGGCCAGATTGGGTAGGACTTTAAAAGCTAAATTGAAAAGTTTATATTTTATCCTAGAGGTAAGAGGAAGCTGCTGGAGTTAATTACATAAAGAGTCACATGATCACATCTGCGTTTAAGCATAATTCCTTTGGGAGTTGTATGTAGGATGCATTGGAGTAAGGAGATTCTTGAGGCAGGAGACCAATTAGGAGGCTGTTGAAATAATCTAGGCTGGAGGTGACAGAAACCTGAACAAGGAGGGTAGCTATGTAAATGAAGAGAAGGGGTTGGATGTCCAATGAGAGCTATTGAGGGGGGGAGAGCCATATCAAAGACTAAAGGACCCTAGATGGGAGCACCAATGTGGAGGAACAAACCCTAGTCTCTTCTCCCCACTTGCTTGAGCTCAGAATAGGGAAAGACTCTAAGTCACAGAGTATAGAGATATGGAGGGAGTGGCGAGTATATCAGTGGGGTAGGAGTCATTCCCTGGACTCATTAGAGTCTCAGCTAGGAGTCCTTTCTGTGTTCTTTATTAATTTATAAATAAAACTGTTTGTGCTATACATTTTGTGAGCCTGAGTGTTGGTGGAAACTCTTTCGGAGAAATGTTAGATAACTGGTATCTCCAGGTCATCTGAGTGAGGCAATGAGCCAGAAATCAAGGGTTTCCCAAAGTGCAGTCAACCCTGGGTAAGCATTCCCAGTATGGCATTTCTGACACTAACAATAATCTCAGATTCCTGCTCTGTAAAGGGGCCATTAGATTTGATGATCTTTAAGGCCCCTTCTAGATCTCAAATTGTGATCCTCTAAATCTGATAAATATGTTAGCTAGAAAAGTGGATGTGATTATGTTATAGAAAGAAAATCCAGGGAGCAGCTACGTGGCGCAGTGGATAGAGCACCGACCCTGGATTCAGGAGGACCCGAGTTCAAATTCGGCCTCAGACACATAACACTTACTAGCTGTGTGACCCTGGCCAAGTCACTTAACCCCATTGCCTAGCCAAAGAAAAAGAAAAAGAAAAAAGAAAATCCACTGCTTACAAATTAGGCTAAGGGATATTTTAAAAGCTTTATTTCATCCAAAGTTACAAGCTGAGACAGAGGGTTTATCCACAGGGTGTCTATGAGGCAAACAAGATTCAGAATATGTCATTTCCCGCAGATATATAGAGTTTTCAGAAAACACATAGCCATGCTGGGTTCATAGCCAGTCAGCCACTGGCTTTTATGCGTGTTTCAGGGGAAGGGACAAAGACTTAATAACTTATTGTCCATGAACGCCCTCAGGGTCCAAGATGGGTAGACTCAGTTTGTTTTTTGGTTGGTCTTGAAGAAAAACTGGGATAGGGGAAGGCAAAACACAGGGGGGTGGATATAACTGCCTGTTTATACTAAAATAGAGATTAATTTTAAAATGACATCACTCATGTCGAGAAAGGGAAAATACAGCATTCCCTTCCCTTAAAAAAACTGTTTGCTATCAATAAGTATTTTATCATTGAGAACAATATTGTATACAATTCTCTATTAAAGTACTACATTTGTGCATCATCATGACTCTGAATTGACCTTGAACTCCCGAAGGCTACACCAGCAGGATACACCAATAGATTACCAAGCCAGAAAGTCTTCCAGGTCAAATCTTGCAGCAAATCACGTTTCTGCCTGTTGTCCAAGAAACTGCTTGGCTCTGTCTAAAGAGTCTCATCTTATTGGCGCAAAGTGATGAATTTTTCAGCCACAGCAACTCATAAATACTTGCTAAGGCATGCAGAGACTAGCTATCCTGGCATAATTACAGATCATTCACCTACCCTAATAGAATATAAGCTCCACGAAGGCAGGAATGGTTTCCTTTTTGTTTTTGAAACACCATCACCTAGCACAAGGCTTTGCAGATAGTAAGCAGTTTGTTGAACTGATTTGAATTGAAATATCAAATGATACAAGATGCTTCACAGCAATTAAAATTTTTCCCTTTATAGACATAATCCAGTATCCCAAGGAATTATTTCAGTTCAACATATTTTCACTTAAAAACACTAGAGATTTACATTTAAGATTTACTATGTTTTGCTTGTAACTGCCTTTATAATGTTTCTGGGACCATGGGCCTTTTTTTTTTCATTTGATAACATAAAAAGACATTGTGAAAGGTATTTTGGTCTGGACATGTTATTTCCTGGTGAAGAAATTTCCTCTATCAATGAAGATCAGCAACTGCTCAGCAACCTACTAATTTTCGAGTGTTGCCTATGGCACTAAAAGGTTAAAGTATTTTGCCTAGGCTCAGTCAGCCAGTATGAATCAAAGGAAGAACTTGAACCCAGGTCTGGTCTCTATTACACTTTCATTTTATATTCATTATCTCACTTGAACCTTTTAACCTCTTACCACCCCTATTTTAAAGAAGAACCTGATGCTATAAACAGTTAAATAATTTTCCCAAGGTCACATAGCTCACGAGTATCAGAGTCAGATCTTCAGGATGCCTAGTCCAGCACTCCATCCACTCTACCTTGCTGCTTATCTGGGTAGCAGCAGGATTCAAGAGAGAGGACAGAATCAGAACAAATCAAATCCATTTGCCTTTCCATCTTGGGTCTTTTGTATTGAATGAGCCTCATACTTCATATCGCAGGTAAAAATGTCTCAATGGGACTTGGAATTTGGGATGAAATGAGGGACTGAAGTATTACTATGTCCTCAATAATGTATTTTATCAAATTAACACCATATCTTAGGATCTTTAGATGAAAGTTGCCACAAAAAGTCCATGTTTTGATGAAATAACCAAAGCGAACAGAGTGTTTCAAAATTATATAACATTTCACAAAGTTTTAATTAAATTTCAAAGCTGTTCTTTGTTGTTACAAGGGCAGAGACAATTATTGAAAAGATTAACTTCTGAGGATTATCTCTTTTCTGGTAACCCTAATATGACTGAGTAGATTTTTTTAGACTGGAGAGAGAAGCAGTTTGCAATAGAAATGTTGACATAACTGTGAACATGTGTCCTAGAATATGAAGGTCATAATTGGTGGGGGGGGGGGGAAGAGTAGGAAAAAAAGGACACTCTTTGTTTTCCACGGGAACACTGTGTTCTTGACAGAAACACTGAATGTTTAGCTGAAGGTAGTACCCAAACAAAAACAAGCAAGAAAAGAAGCAGAAAGAAAGAAAACAAGGAAGAGAGGGAAGCAGAAAGATAGGGAGGCAGTGAAGGGAGAGAGAAAGACAATGAAGAAAGGAATATAGTGAAAGGAGAGAGGCAGGGAGGAGACAGTGAAGAGAGGAAAGCAGTGAAGGTAGGGAGGAAAGAG